TTTGCAGTACGCGGGCCTCTCACTGCTGTGGCCTCTCCCGTTGCGGAGCACAGGCTCAGCGGCCGTGGCTCACGGGCCCAGTCGCTCCGCAGCACGCGGGATCCTCCCGGACCGGGGCACGAACCCGCGTCCCCTGCATCGACAGGTGGACTCTCAACCACTGCGCCACCAGGGAAGCCCTAAATGATCCTTCTTTAAATTATAAATTATAGGGTAAGTTACATATTTGTCTTAAGCTCTTAAACATCTGCCAAGGATTTTTACTGGAGAAATTTGAGGGGTGCTATTCACCTTATTAAACCTATACAGTGATGTTTGTCAATTACTTCTCAATAAAACTGGAAAAAAAAAAACTTCAGGGGGCTGGTAGGAGGTGATGGGGTGTTACACAGGGACCACATCGCACACCTTTGCAACCAGTGTTAAGCAGGTTAGGATGTGCACAATACTTCTCCGGCTGGACTGACTCATGCGTCAGCCCCAAAATGTTCTACAAGAGTTAATGAAATAAAGGAAGACAGAAAAACAAAAGGTTTTTGGGGGGTTGGGGGGGGAGAACTAAAATGTTTCGAACATGAAAGTTTTCTTAAGGATCTTAAAGGCACATTCCTCTATCTAGAAAAGTTCAAGACGGAAACCATGACTCTCTTGGCCAGGCAATCTAACAGAATCAACATGTACTTCCAATTGTAACCTTCCCCGGATACACACTGCCCTAGAACTCTCCTGCGTTCAGGCTTAGCAGACCCTTCAGTCGTTCAGAACTCTTTTAAGTTCATATCCGACCCTTATAAGGAAAGTGTGAGGTATCTCTCACATCTGAGAATTATACCGAGAAGGCGCACCATGAACTTCTGTACTGTGCTTTTTATGTCAAGGTCAGAAAAAATATTAAATACAGCAATTTTTTAGTTATTAAACAACCTGTAGTCCAGGTGTTATAAGGTCTTCATTTACATAACTGTGATCACTTTTCACTTGCTTCTAAAAGATACCAGAAGCAGAAAGACAACCTACAGAAAAATAGAAACAGATTTCAGACTACTGTCCCACTTCCTCCCCAGCCCCCCACCCAAGGCGGGATCCGTGCCTTTAATATTCCTTCCTGCCTCCGTACTCCAGGCACAAAGATTATCTTACAGACCAACTCCACTGATAACTCAGACCCTTAAAAAACGGTTGACTTAACCAAGCCAAAAAGAGGAAAGAGTGTTTTGAAGATCCTCTGCAGTGGTTCATAAATAAAACTGTACTTGCTTAATGGAGAAATTTTACAGGTAACTTCATGACGAGTCAAAATTACAAAAATTCAGGAACACTACTCATAAGTTGCAAAATGCTACTGCTATAATAAAACTCACCAATATATGAATAACACATCCTTAGTACAATGAAAATAGTAAGCATTTTATTTGTAAAGTAACACCCAAGTGATAAAGAGAGCTGCCTAAACCATCTGGTCAGCAGTATACTGCACAGAATCACTTCTTCAGTGCGTCTTGTATTCTTTATACCAGTAGAGCTTAATGAATCAGGGGTATATATAGAATAAACTGTGGAACTTTAAAAGACACACACACGCAAAAGTTCACCAATGCAACTATTACAACTAGGAAAAATTATGTAAGCATGAAATAGGACTGAAAAATAACACAGCCAAAGGACAAGCGTTTGATTTTCGTGGTGGTGGTGAGATCATAAATGAATTTTCTCTTTCATTTTGATTTCTGTTAATGTGGTTTGGGCAGTAAATAAGAATTAATAAGTAAAATGGCACTAATTGAATCAGTGTGGTGCTGGCATAAGAACAGACAGACAGATCAATGAAATTGAACTGACAGTCAGAAACAGACCCTGGTATAAGAACTTAATCTGTAATAAAACAGGCAACACAAACCAGGATGGAAAGGGGGTGAGGAAGAGAATTTATTTAACAAATGGTAATGGAGCTACTGGTTAGCTATTTGGAAAAAAATCCACTGTGATCCTTACTTCATGGCATACATACACCACATTAAATTTCATATGGATTAAAAATTCAGAAGCATTAAAACACAAATCCTAGAAAAAGCCCTGGTAAATATTTCTGATATCAGGATGGGAAATATTTTAAAACAGTAGCAGAAATTACAGTGAAAGAGATCAACAGATTAAAGCGATAAGAATTAAATCATCAGCAAAAAATAAACTGGAAAAAGCAACAAACATGACAGAGGTTAAGATCATTACTATACAAACAGTACAAACACACACATCAAAAAGCAAATAGAATGATTTGTTTAAAAATAAAAAATTGCTCAGGTTCACTAGCAATTAAAAAAAATTTACCTTATCAAATTATAAAAATTAGTAGCACTCAAGGTTGACAAAAATGTAAGTTGAGCACTGATTTCTGGGTAAAGTGTTAACTGACGGAGTTTTGCAAAGCAAGTTGATAATGTGCACCAATAACCTTCCATTTTCATAGTCTTTCACCCAATGGTTCCCTTTTGAAAATCTAAGGAAATATTTGTACATGTAGACAAAGACTTATGCCCAATTTTATTCAAGAATATTGTTTCTAATATCCCAATACTGAAAACAACTTAAACCTCCAACATTAGGGAAATGGTCATGAAAGTATCACGAATCCATAAGAAAAAATATTATAGAAACATAAAAACTATATTTATGAAGTATTTGTAATAACATGGAAAGTATTTAATGTTCACTTGAAAGAGCAGAATATAAAGCTTTTATAAAGTATGATATTTAAAGATAAAAATGCATAGAGAAGGCTGGAAAAAAATGTGTCAAAATGTTAACAGCGGTTGTCTGTGGGTGGTAGTAATATGGCTAGTCTGTCTTTTGACACTTTTCTGTATTCTAAATTTTCTACAGTGATCAAGTACTATTAATACACTTTGATGACCAGATGAATATAGTTTTAAAGGATAAACAAGCACACACACACACGCACACAAATACATATAATGTATTTATATTTCCACCACTAATTCATTGCTACGCAACTTAGCTCTTGATATGCACATTTAAGTTAGTAATTCAAAGAAATAATTGGGGTTTTGTTGCCCTGGCCTATTAGTGTTTGATTTGTCTTAAAAGATCACTATTGAAGAACACCCAGAAGATATTTTACATCAGGGCTTAGATGGATATCAAAGATTTACCAGCTGCTGTCTAGAAAATATAGCACACATGTAGCTCCCACTGTCTGAAGGACAGGAGCCTGCACAGGGGTGGGTCCTCAACAGACTAGAAACCCTCAGCTCACTAAGGACCTAAGAAAATAGCAGAGAAGGCAGGACACATGGGGCCAGGAACACATCCATAAGTATGTTGGATTGTGAAGGGAGGATAAAGAAAGGCAAACCCACTGGATGCAGGGATTGGAAAGAAAACAAAAACAACACAAGATAAAAAACAGTAAGTATGGAACTGAAAAAGGCAAGGGAAAAAGCATAACTCTGACTGACAAGGAGGTTATTAAACCACTTCTTTGAAATAAGGGGGGTAAGAAAAACCAGAGTAAGGTAGGGAACAGAACAGCAGAACAAGGGGATGCAGCCAATGAATCAAACTGGCTACTATGGCTATTAGTTTTTCATTTCTGCAGCCCTGCCAATAGAGCAACATTTGAGAAAATGCCAGCACTTATTAAAAACAATATGTGAGGAAATGTTTGTTTTCTTAATATTTAACCAACAGGTTTTGCTATGTTTTTGTGTTTTGAAAAATAAAAAAGGCTAAGGCACATACACAAAAACACACCACACACATTTTATCCTATTTTAAGCATCAATGTGTTTGAAACAGAACTTGAGAGTTGATTTAGATGTTACAAATAAACGTGCGACCATAACACTGATGAGGACTAAAAGCCAACATTCTACAGAAAACAGGAGGAGGCTCTGCCCAAAATCTAGTTCTCTATTCTGTAAAATCACAGAGCCCTAGAACTTCAGGGGGCATTTAAAAGATTAACCTTCAAAGGAAAGTCGGCAGATCTGCTTTACGTTTTTCAGTATCCGACCACTGCAGTGATAAATGCTTCATGTGACAACTAAATACCACATCAGAGAGCCAAAAGGTAAAGTGTGTTGGTTCAGAGTTGCTCAAAATTGGTACAACCCTGACAGTTTCTGACATGTCTACATCCACCTGTACTACTATTTACTTAATATTTTCTTCAAATCAACTTGCTTTTCTAAAAACTGAAATACCTACTTTAGGCTTGTCCTAAGCAACAGAAAAATCACCAGTTTAATGTGCTATTTATATTCTAAATACATACTAAATAAATGCTTACATATTTAAATAAAAGTGTACCTATACACCATCTAAAAACATTGTACAGGCTACAAGGGTAAGGTGTACCACCTCTAGAAAATCCAATCCAATCCCAATTTCTTTAACAAAGTAAATCTTGAAATTGTTCATGTTGAAATTCCAAGCTTTTGTTCCCAAGGCAACTATATAGTCTATATTTTAAAATTTCTAATCACTAAAACTCTAAAGTGCTTCGTTTACTGTACAAATATTATACCATACCAAAAAAAAAAAACTTGGGAGAAAAATAATCTCCTGTGAATGAATAAGCCAAATATATATATATATATATATATATATATATATATATATATA